GAGTCTCCCTACTGCAGTATCCTCTCCCCAACACACTCCAATCCTAACAAGCCTGTGCTCTCAACTAAAAAATCAGATGCATTTCATAAATGAATTCAAACCCAAATGCTAAAGACTAGTTTATTAAGTGCCCTCCCCTAGGGGCATTTACAAGTTAATAAAAATCTTTTTTTTTTAAATATATGATCCAATTTTTTAAAAGTTTAAAATAAATAATTTATTTTAAATTTAAAATAATAATTTATTTTTAAAAAATAAATAAATTAATTAATTTTATGGCTGTGTTGGGTCTTCGTTTCTGTGCATGGGCTTTCTCTAGTTGCGGTGAGCGGGGGCCACTCTTCATCGCGGTGCGCGGACCTCTCACTGTCACGGCCTCTCTTATTGCGGAGCACAGGCTCCAGATGCACAGGCTCAGTAGTTGTGGCTCATGGGCCTGGTTGCTCTGAGGCATGTGGGATCTTCCCAGACCAGGGCTCGAACCCGTGTCCCCTGCATTGGCAGGCAGATTCTCAACCACTGTGCCACCAGGGAAGCCCCTAAAAATCTATTTTTTTAACAATTTATGAAATATATTCACATGTGAGGTAGGAAGGATATGCTATGCCTATTCTGTGCTCTGACTCAAAGTCACTTGTCCAAACCACTTATTAGGTTTGTAAGCGGTAAAGTTAAGTCAAAGATCCTGTCTACAACCTTTCAGCTATATCATGCTATCTCTGAAGAATAAACGTCAAAGGTCCCCAGTAAGTGTTTGTTGAATGAATATTCAAATAAAGAGCAAGAGGGAATGAGGTAGTAAGAAAGGAAGAGGATTAAAAAAAAAGATCAGGGGCATTTCCTCAGGGGACTAGAAAGGAATTGTTCTTGGTAGATGGGGAAGAAGGCTTTGTGAAATTACGAAAGCCTGCCCCAAACAGACACACAGGTGCACACTGCCTTCCATACACTACATATGTGTCATTCCCCAGGCTTGATCAGTTCCCAAAAGACATCAGGCCTGTGGATAAAATGTTTATTTCTTTTTTGTTCTTTCTCAGGAATTAAGTATCATAGGTCATTTTAACTTTGGGCCACCAAGCCCAGATGATAACCCTAGAATTTTAGAGCAGGAAGAGATTCTACTGATTATCTAATCCAGTGGGTCTTTATGTTCATCTTCGTGTGAAAATTGTTTGGGGCACAGATCTTCAAACAAGCACCTTCTCCTGGGATGGCTCCTTCAGCAGTTTTCTTGGAGGAAAAAGCTGTGGGCCAGCTACCCTTGGAAAGTGGTCCTTTGGGCCTGGCTTCATCTTTGAAAAGATGCCTGATCCCTCCATTTCTCTGAGCTCTCTATTGGTCGAGGGCAAGGTGAGAAGTAGGGGTAGGAGAGGAGTGATTTTTGTTTCTTGCTTAAGTATGTTAATTTTGGAAAGATGACTGAGCCAAAAGTTTTGGGAATGACAGCTATTATATTCACTGTCAACCTCCACATTCTAGCTCTGGAATTAGATTTGACAAAGATGCTTTTTCTAGGTTGGCTTCTGACAGAGCCAATACTAGCAGTCCTTAATGACTCAACAAAAAACTGAGGAGGAAATTGTGGGAAACATGACTTTACCCACAAAGGTCACTGCCATTTCGAGAATCCTCCCACTCTCTGAGCTGCAGAATGAAACCCTCAAGGTCAGGATACATTTTGTCATCCAAGTATGAGTCATTCCTTTTTTCTGAGCCTATTAACCAAAGTGCCACATTTGATTTAATATTTCATTAAAGAAAAATCCAAAAAGCTTCACTAAGTAAAGACAGGGTTATATCAGGATCCAAAGTTCAGCAGACATGCACAGCCACACTATTATAAACGTTATAAAATTCATCAAGAATTCAGAATTGATCTTCTAAAATTTAAGACCATACTGATAGGAGTAGTCCTGATATTACTTTAACAGATCTGTATTTTTTCTATGTAGGTATATTTATCTAACTTTCATTTTCATAAAAGTGGGTTTATATTACTAATATTATTCTGTAGCTTACTTTTTTCACTAAATATATCACGAACATTAAATATTCTGCAACTGGGGACTTCCCTGGCAGTCCAGTGGTTAAGACTCTTCTGCGCTTCCACTGCAGGGGCATGGGTTCGATCCCTTGTCAGGGAACTAAGATCCCACATACTGCGCGGCCTAAAATAAATAAATAGATATTCTACAACTGTGTGTACAGGGTGGCTGTTTACCCAGTCACCCACATGACTCCAATCTAAGCAACATGACTTAGATTGGATATATCTCTGAAGACAAAATACTTACAAACACTCAAGGAGGAAATACAGAAACAACTTGGTTTGAAATTCGGAGGCTAGAAATGTCATAGCCCATTTGAGGATCAAACTAAAGCAGTGCTAATCAAGGTCCAAGGACTTTGCTCTGTGGATCAATATAAAGGTCTTTTTAAAAACCAAATTTTCTCAAAAAATGTAAGTAAAAAAGAATGCCATTTGACAGAATGTGTATTTAAATAAGCAAAGCAAACTAATTTATTATCTCCTTCACAATCTGTATTAACAGAATGTATTTTCATACCTTCATAAAGAAACATCACAGCTCTATGTGTCTTTATACAGAAGATAAGGATTACAGATATCTAAAACCCTCAAGCTTGCCACCAGGACTGAATAAAAATAATTCATGGTCAAATGTTTTTGAAAAATACAGATGATAAAGCATTTCTGTGAAGAAAAAAGAAAAACATCATAGTTATCCCTAAGTTGAAATAAAAGGAGAAAGGAAAATTTTCTCATACAACTATATAACATCTATTTATTGAAAGCTTATTAAAGCAAGAAGATTTTAGAAGAAAATATGCCAAAATATTATAGTTATCATTTGTAGGAGGATTACTGCTCTTTTTTTTTTTAGTGTTTACCTCTATTCTCTAAAATGAATATCTATTATTTGTGGCAGAAAAGTCTTTTCATAAATAAGTTTTTTATTAGATTATACATAATGCTCAAATACAAAATGATTAGCCAGAGGAGTCACCAATGATTGCTAAATTTTACCTAGCAACTTGATTACAGAAAGCCAGTAACTGGGTACGGCTTACTTGTTCTAGAAAATCCAACTGTGAGCATTTACACACATAGCTGAGTCAGGAACTCCCACAGCTCCTTGGAGATGGCCAGTTAGGGAGTTTCAAAATTACAAGTCTAATTCATAAACCAAGACATATTCTCTCTCATGTTCTAGAAAAGTGTGGGTGTGGATGTGGGAGCATAGACTGAGCAGAGGCAGCCACAGTATCACAGGACCCATTCCTAGAGGACACTTAGGCCTCTACACCTACCTTTTCCAAGCAACACATATCCCCAACTGTCCAGCACCAATCTCTGGAACTGCTTGGTGGGTGGTGCATCCCTAAAGGCCCATGGTTTCATGTCCATGAGGGTGTCTTAGTTAAAACTGTGGGTTCCCGGGCTTCCCTGGTGGCGCAGTGGTTGAGAGTCTGCCTGCCGATGCAGGGCACATGGGTTCGTGCCCCGGTCTGGGAAGATCCCACATGCCGCGGAGCGGCTGGGCCCGTGAGCCATGGCCGCTGAGCCTGCGCGCCCGGAGCCTGTGCTCCGCAACAGGAGAGGCCACAACAGTGAGAGGCCCGCATACCGCAAAAAAAAAAACCAAAAAGCAAAAAACTGTGGGTTCCCAAACAACCATTTACAAAAGGACTTCTCAAGCCATCACTCCAGGATATCCTTGCTAGGGATCTAAGACATGGCCCCTTCCCTCACATGCTCATAAGAACTTCAGGGATCCTTGGGTGGAAATCACATCTAGGCCACCAGGTTCTTGACAGCTCTCCAACGGGTGAGCACATATGTGGCTCATAGCTCATAACCATTCCATTTATTCATTTATTCATTGGGTTAATTCTGATTAGGGCATTCTGTGACTGAACTAAATTTTAACATATTCACGTTAAATAAATGATGTGGCTACCTAATTCATAACACAGTTTCCTATAAAAGATAAAAATCAGGAGCATTTCCCAGAAATGGAGGAGGGGCAATTTCATCACATTCTGGCTGTCTGTCTCTCTCTTTTACATACATACACACAGCCTGGTTATGTATACCCCAAACTGTCAAGGAATGTCAGTTTGAAGTGGGTGCAATTTTTTTTTTTTTTTGGTCAGAGATACTGTATATTAAGACACAATCTTTCAGAGAAAGATAAATTCTGTATGGTATCACTTATATGTGGAACCTAAAAAATACAACAAACTAATGAATGTAAGAAAAAAGAAACAGACTCACAGATATAGAGAACAAATTAGTGATTACTAGTGGGGAGAGAGAAGAGGGGAGAAGCAATATAGGGGTAGGGGATTAAGAGGTACAAACTATATTATGAATAAAATAAACTCTAAGGGTATACTGTACAACACAAGGAATATAGTCAATATTTTATAATAACTATAAGTGGTGTATAACCTTTGAAAATTGTGAATCACTATATTGTACACCTGTAACATATAATATTGTACATCAACTATACTTCAATAAAAAAATGAAAAATGAATTATTGAATGAAAAAGAAAAAAAGAACTGTTACAGAAACTAGAACATAGAAAAAAGAAAAAATAAAAGACACGATCTACTTCAAAATCACAAAATATATCATCTTGAGAGAGACATATCAAATAATTGGCAATGGCAATTTGGGGTAGGCATGCAGAGATTGTAAAAAACTTCTATTTTCATATATATTTACTACAACATTTGAAAATGTTTAATGAGCTGTAGTTCCAACTTTGTAAGCAGAAAGCATAAGAGACAATTTAAAAACAAAAAGCATCATACGTAGTGTGAGAAACTTGAGCTTTCCCACTAAGATCAGGTACAAGACAAAGATGTCCCCTCCCACCAATCTTTCTCAACATTGTATTGGAAGTTTTAACCAATGCAGTAAAACGATAAAAGGTATACAGATTGGGAAGGAAGAAATAAAACCATCTTTATTCACAGATGACATGATAGTCTTTGTAGAAAATCTAAAAGAATTCCTGGAACGAATAAGTGATTATAGCTAAGATTATTGCAAGATACAAGGCTAATATACAAAAAGCAGCATGCACATCCCTTAGTGATGGATCACACATTACCATCACTAGCTTCATGCTTTCTTGTGACAGTCCTGCCTATCACTGAGAAGCCCTAATATAATCTCCAAGCAGCTGTGGGAGTCCGTGAGAAGATTTGGCAGCTTCTTACCAATCATCTGATTAGGTAGGAAATTGTGCAGATATAAATCTTGGAAAGAGTAGAAGCCCCCTGAGCTTCCTCTTCCTGTGACTCCTTCTCTTGAGTCTGCAGGCACTGTCTTCACCTGTCAGAACGGGCAGTTTCCCTTTAGGTCCTCGCACCCCACTCTTCATCCCCCACCTTTTGTTTACATTTGATTCCCCAGGCTACTCAGAAAATGGCTAATGGTCATAGGGGTTTAATCTAAATGGGCTCTTGGCAACAACAAACTTCATGCTTAGTCAAAGACATGTGTTAGAACTGGGCTGTTAGGTAGAGCTCTCAAAATGTGTGGGTGAAGAATGCTGGAAGTGAGGTGAGGAACTTTCGTGCTCTTGTGCTAAGAGCTCTGGGTGCTCTTAGCAGTGCATACTGCCAGGAAGCCAAGAACCCATTTTCCATGATGCCCAAAGTACAATACGCTGAATTCAAGGAGGCCCTGCCATATAACAGACGCAACAGAAGGAAAATTTGTGCCTCCTACTCTCGAAGAGACCTAAATATAGTTAATATCTGAGGATTCTGACTATTGGAAAGAGGCAAGGTAACGTCGTTCCTTCTCTCTCATTCTCTCTCTCTGTGCACGCACTTGCACACGTAAGGTACTGATTCCTGCTAATCACCAGTCTGCTCACATACATACACAGTTCCTTAACAACATTCTTCATTTCTTCACCAAATCAAGTACTGCTGCTCGAGTTCTCACTTTCTTTTGGCCTTTCTGGCTTTGGTTCTCCTCCGACTCTCCAGCCACCCTTCCTGTCTCCATAGGGCCACGTGAGCAGGTGAGCATTACAATGCTCGAGTCTGCTGCCTCTGGGGGTTTCTTCCACAAGACTCTATTCTTTCGAGTTGTTTCAAAATCCTCTCCACCATCCTTACTTTGTAGCCCTTCTTCTATGCATCACTCCAGGGTCAACCACTCCCAGAATATTGGCCACTAAGGGGTTCCTGCTTTCTTTCCCAGTCAAGCACACACTGAAGGAAGCCCTGATTATTCTGACAAAACTTTCTGTGCATTCAGAATAAACTCTTGATGGCGTCCTGGAAACCTGTGCGAGCAGCCAGCCAGATTGCTGCCAGCCAACTCCAGGAAGAACCAAGTAAGCGCCTGCTGGTTCCTCTGCCTCCTCACCCACCCCCCATGTTAAATAGGCTCCTGCTCACAGCTTACAATGTCGCCATTCTCCTGGTGACACCATTTCCACAGACTTAAACAGCTTCCCCTTTAGACTAGCATCTGTGGTTTTATTATATTCCCTGCCAAACCATAAGGGCATCCTGCAAATGGTAGGTAGTTCTTCTGGCCTGTGTAAATTCCGAGAATCTCTAGGCTGGCCAGTGTAAAATAAACCCCAGAGTGTTAATAAGGGCAATGAATAGTGGAGATGGAGAATGGTAGAAGACAAATCATCTTTTTTTTCTAAGATTTAAGTGTATTTATTTTAGGCTGTGTTGGGTCTTCGTTGCTGTGCGCAGGCTTTCTCTAGTTGTGGCGAGTGTGGGGGCTACTCTTCGTTGCAGTGCCCGGGCTTCTCATTGCGGTGGCTTCTCTTGTTGCGGAGCACGGGCTCTAGGCATGGGAGCTTCAGTAGTTGTGGCACGTGGGCTCCGTAGTTGTGGCTCACGGGCTCTAGAGCGCAGGCTCAGTAGTTGTGGTGCACGGGCTTAGTTGCCCCGCGGCATGTGGGATCTTCCCAGACCAGGGCTCGAACCCGTGTCCCCTGCATTGGCAGGCGGATTCGTAACCACTGTGCCACCAGGGAAGTCCCTGGAACTTTAATCTTATGTGATCTCTAAGAGTAAAGGAGAAAAGAGAGCTTTTAGGTAAACTCTATAGAAATAAATTATGTTTGGGGAACGTCTATGTAAAATACTCTCTCCAGATTTTGGTAACTTGAAACTAAACAAAGTTAAATGAGAATTCGACTATCTGGGTCAATTCAAATAGGATAAAATACTGGAAAATTAATTGCTGGGCGGGTCTGAGTTTACCTACCCTCGCCTTCTTAGGAGAGGAAGACTAAAGCATAAGTTTCCAATTAGGAAATGCACAGTTACTTGCTCCTTGGCTTTTGCCAGAGATTAAGGTTTTGAAGGGCTATGATTATTATCAGTCATAACTCTAGTTATTGTAACCAAGTTTCTTTATGGATTACATTGTGATCAGGTGCTTAACCGTGCCTTTTAAGTCTTGTCGTCTATAGACAGTTATTGTTGTACTCTGATGCTTTTGCAGAAGGGCTTCATCTTCAAGAAGATCCATAGGAAGAACCTTTTGACAATAACACGTCCCTGATAAATGTCAGATTATACTGCTGAACAGGGTAAGAATTGAAAGAATCCTAGCGGAAAATCTTATGGCTTCATAAAGAGATAACAAAAGGATTAGTTATTGAGTGAACTGGTAAATATGGTTATCATTTTTATGGGTTTTGTCTGGAATGTTACTGGTTTTTATCTGTGTTTTCCAGATAGAGGGAAGCCCTTCACCTCAAGTTGGTTATGATTTATAGCAATTTGGTAAATTACTCTTGTGGGTAGAATTAAAACGTTTTTCTTTTCTCTTTGCCTGGTCCCTCCAGAAACTGGGAACTCCAGTTCTGAGCAGCCTAATCAGGTGAATGGGAAGGACTGGCATGTCTCCTGGCATGTGCAAGAATCTCAATATTTGGGGGACTGAGAAATCCACCAAGGCAGAGCCTGATGGCAGGCCTTGGGCTTGACTTTCCTGGCCTTGAGAAGCCTGTTGGGAATTCAGTCTGAGACTCCTGGGGAGTTCTACCTCAGCCAGTTTGGAGGAGCCTATATGATCAACTGACCAGACTTGTTTTGCAAACAAATTAGTCTTGATTTGGCTGTACTTGGAGATGAGGGTAATTTTAGAGAGAACGATATTATGTTTCAGTGGATGTTAAATTCTAGTTCCGTTCATTGAGGTCTGTATTTATGAAAGTTATTATGTTATCCATACTTTTGCCCTGATGCTCCGGATGGAAAAAAAATTATCTAGTGAAATTGTCACAGAGTATGACTACTCATGAACTGTGACACTGCTTGTTTTAAGTCTGCTGCTAAAAGCACATGTACAATGCTTGCGTCACAATGAGGTATAAGTGATAAAATGTATAGCCCATAAAGTGTTTCCCCATTAACATACCTCTGAGCCTGTTCATGAGATCTGGTTAGTCTTCCCCCAAAGTGAATGACTAGGCAAATATAAAGGCGGCCTAGCATGGAGGGGCATGATCTGAACCGAGGGTAGGAATCAGCACCCCAGCACGGAGGGATGGATACTTTGATCATCAATGCTTTCTATTGAAAGATTTGCAGTCAAAAGGGGAAATGAGGGCTTCCCTGGTGGCACAGTGGTTGAGAGTCCGCCTGCCGATGCAGGGGACACGGGTTCGTGCCCCGGTTCGGGAAGACCCCACATGCCACGGAGCGGCTGGGCCCGTGAGCCATGGCCGCTGAGCCTGCGCGTCCGGAGCCTGTGCTCCACAACGGGAGAGGCCACAACAGTGAGAGGCCTGCATACCGCAAAAAAAAAAGGGGAAATGATGGAAAAATCTGCACATGTTGAGGTCTGAGGAAGTCAGAAGGTTTATACATGGTTTAGCTTGAATTTTCCTGACCAGAGCAGCCTGTTTTGTGGCCTTTCAGACATGCATTGTACATCTGCTTTGGCCATTGAGGAAGGGGATGGATTTGAAAGTCAAAATGGAGCAGCTGTGGTTCAGACATCCAAGGTAAAACTAGGTGACCAATGAGTACATGATTTGGGGCACATTCCTGTATTACTGAAAACTTGTGTTTTCTGAACTGTATTGCAGACGTTGCAGACGAGGACAAAAAACCATAGGTGGGTGTGGTATTATCTCAGAATGTGGTTACTGCTTGTATGTTGCTTAATTGTCATAATCTTCCCTGTGCTGTGCCTATTATATGTTTTACATTCCCTCCCTAGCCTGAGGGAAGAAATCTATTCAAGGACGGAGCAGCAACACGGGCCTCACTGTGGAATGACTAACTGCTGGGTCTACAGCGAGATGCCTTGCCGTCCTCCTCTGGACTTCCACGAGAAACTGACCCGGCTACTGTGACTGTGGGGACTACTGACCAACGGGGGAGAAAGACTCTCACCATCTTCCTGTCCCACAAGCCAGTACATCAGAAGGACCCCCACTGGTAAACGTTACTGTACAACTGACTGCCCTTGAGTCCCCCCGGACTATGCTGTGTGGAATGGAATAGGCTGGCTTCTGGACACACATGTCCAACTAGTGGGATTAACCGGGTTTTGTTTGGAAAGACCTAATGGGTCCACCCCTGGGCTTCCCTGGTGGCGCAGTGGTTGAGAGTCCACCTGCCGATGCAGGGGACAAGGGTTCGTGCCCCGGTCCGGGAAGATCCCACATGCCGTGGAGCGGCTGGGCCCGTGAGCCATGGCCGCTGAGCCTGCGCGTCCGGAGCCTGTGCTCCGCAACGGGAGAGGCCACAGCAGTGAGAGGCCCGCGTACCGCAATGGGTCCACCCCTAATGGCACTCCACATTACATGGGGTGACAGATCTGTACTGTGACCAACACAGTCTGTCTGGTGGCTAGGCCACCAGAATATTTCTTTTAAAGCCAGGCCTTCCCCTCCTCATGGGGGTAGATCTGGGTTTGTGAGAAACAGAGGTGGGCTTACCTTCCTTATAAGTGGACAGGGCACTGCTGCTGTTGACTCCCGTTCCATTGACTCGGTAAGCTCCAAAATTTGCCCATATCCGGGCAAATGACTGTCCTGAACATACTAGGTATCTTATTCTTGATACTCTGACTGCTGCTGTCTGTACTGAATTTGTAGTATCTGGTTGCAGTGCCCCCTGCATACCTGACCCCGCAGAAGAGGGGAGGAGCAAGATGTAAGCGTTGTGCAGGGTATGTAGGGGTAGAGTGTGTGGTCAAGATGGCTGCTCTCTTGCTCCCTGTACGTCGCCTGCCTGACCAGTGCCCGCTTCACCCACACCTACTCACAGGACCCACCTTCCTACGTACTTGTCCCTGGCCCCAGCTGGTGATAGCTTATCAGAGGGGCGGTGAGGGGCGTGCCCCTCTACTGGTTTCCCTGGTAACTAATGAGCCCACCTGACGTCAATTCCCCTGTAACTGGTAATTCCCCATCCCCCACCCCCAGCAAAGACCATGCCACCATGTCCTGCCTGCCCAGCGCCTCCCACGGTGGGGTGTCACTCCAGGACCTTGTTTCAGACGTGTAAGCTCCCTCATCCATTAAACCACTGATGTCTCTGTTGCTGACTCCCGGCTCTTTCTTCAGTCTTGAAGCTGGGCAAGCACAGGCCTTGTAGGCCTGTGGGGTGCAGCCCAACAGTCATTAAATTGGGTTACTGTGTTCTAACAGCTGGTTCTCCAACTCAGCTTTGCCAGTGTTTGGCTAAGACAGTGGAGGGTAGGGATGGTGATAAGTAGGACAGAAAGACGAGAAGGGCAGGTAGGAAATGGCAGTAGCAGTAAGATACGGTAAGTCCCCTACATAGGAACGAGTTCCGTTCCGAGAGTGCATTCATTCTTAAGTCCAATTTGTTCATAAATCCAACAAAGTTAGCCTAGGTACCCAACTAACACAGTCGGCTATATAGTACTGTACTGTAATAGGCTTATAATACTTTTCACACAAATCATACATAAAAAACAAACAAGAACTAAAGAAAATATTTTAAACTTACAGTACAGTGCCTTGAAAAGTACAGTACTACGGTACAACAGCTGGCATACAGGGGCACATCGAGTGAACAGGCAAGAAGAGTTGCTGACTGGAGGAGGGAGAGGAGGTGGGAGATGGCAGACCTGAAGGATCGTCAGCAATAGGAGATGGAGGGCAGGCTGCAATTTCACTCACGCCTGACGTTGATGGAACGCACGTTCGCATCTTTCAAAGCTCACAACTTGAATGTTCATATGTAGGGGACTTACTGTAGATGGAGGGCTTTGTGTCCTAACAAGTTCATGGCATAGTGGTTAACGGTATGGGCTCCAAAGCCAGGCTGCAGGAGGTCTAAATCCGAGTTTCCCTATTAAACAGCCCTCCAGTATTACCTTAAGCAAATTACTTAACCTCTCCGTGCTTCAGTTTTCTTGCTTTTATAAAATGGAGATAATCATAATAGAACCCACCTCTTGTGAGTAACCCTAAAAGGCTGGCAATAATACCTAACATGTAGTAAGGGTTAAATACATATTAATTATCATTATTACCACAGGATGAAAAAGGCAAGTGCTGTTTTCTATGGCTGAGATGGAAGAGCGGTTTTAACTTTAAATGTATGTGCTAATATTTCTGATGTATTTAGAGATCTCAAATATCAATATATTAAAAATTTATTAGGCTCACTGCAATACTATTAATAGTTTCAGGGAATCACATATCTAGGTGAAAGTTCACAGAAGAATATGTGTTATTGCAACACAAACTAGGCCAAAGTTCAGAGCTAGATAGAGTTGCTAAGGTTTTCATTCATCTTATCATGCTACCAGTGAACATTTTAGCACCACAAAGTGGACGCTCAACAGGAAATTATTCAAATCTAGAGCAAAGTTCGTCCTGTACCCAATGAAAAGTTGTGCAAGGCAAAAATGATGAGTGTTAAGTGTCACGCAGGATGTGCTGATACACTGCTCAAGATACTCTATGCAATCAGTCTTTGCAAGAGTCAGATCATCCTCTCACTTTAGAAAAGCTTTCCATTTGCCCTAGACACTTTTACCTTCTGGGTTACTTCCCAAAGTACATTTACCTTAAACCAACAAGCAGAGAAAAAAAATGTCTCAAGTGCTCTGAGTTTATTATTCCCTTTTTCTAGAGTCTGTAATCAGGGTCATATGAGTATAGATGAGATTCTTGGCGAAGATCCCCTGAGGAGATTGAGTGTTTATGAACTTAAGAGGTTAAGAGTGGCTACACCTGGAGCTGTGAGCCAGGAGTCACAGGGGCAAAGGCCTAAAGTATTCTCATAAAATTGAGAGGGCTTAATGAGAATCGTCTTCTTAAATCAATGACATGGGGAGGCAGATCAATGTAGAAGTAGTTTTAAAGTCAGACAGACCTCAGTTATAGTGCCAATTCCTTCCTCTGCAAATGGCATATGAACCTGGCAATTCATTTCAGCACTGTTTATAACAACAAATGACTAGAAATATACTAAGTGTCCACTAGTGGGAGACTAATTAAATAAATTATGGTAATAACCATGTAGAAAGTTATCCAAATGGAAAAATATATAAATTTTAGCAGTGTATAAAGTATGTACCCTTTGTGAAAAAACTAAAAGAAGAAAAATACTTCCTACTTTATATCTGTTTGTTTATGAAGTAAAATGTCTCTGGAAGAATGTTCAAGAAAGTAATAAGACTGATTGCCTATGGGAGGGGAAGTGGATGGCTGAGAAAAAGGTCGAAAGAGAAACTTGTTCTTTCAATTGTAAACTATGTGATTCTGTCACATGTTCAAAAATTAAAACAATGGTTTGTATACAAAAAGTAAGGCACTATATATATTTGGAGAAAACTTACAAAAAGGGAAAAAAAGAATCCCAGTTTTCCTTTTTACTAGTTATACAACCTTGAACAAGTTATTTAACTTCTGTAGAGCTCAATGTCCCTGTGTATAAGTGGGGATAACAATAGATCCTATCACCTAGGTTTGTATAAGGATTAAATGGTTAACTATAAATGTACATCAAATGATTAAATTTACATTTAGTGGTACATGCCTGGCACATAAGTACTAGGTATATATTAGCTATTAACATTATATTTGTTGGGACTCTGCTTATGAAGTCACTATTGAGAGATGGCAAAGAAACAGAAGACTCTGGCTATGCCTGTAAGGAGCTCAAAAAAAAAAAAATATATATATATATATCTATATATATAAATATAAATACTCCCCCCCCCCCAGTAACTCCATTTTTCCAACAGTTCAGGCCAAAAGTCTTGCAGTCATCCTTTTTTTTTTTTAATATTTATTTATTTATTTATTTAGCTGTGCTTGGTCTTAGTTGTGGCACAAGGGATCTTCATTGCCGCATGTGGGATCTTTTAGCTGCAGCATGTGGGCTCCTAGTTGCAGCATGTGGGACCTAGTTCCCTGACCAGGGATCACATCTTGGCTCCCTGCATTGGGAGCGTGGAGTCTTAACCACTGGACCATCAGGGAAGTCCCCTTGGAGTCATCCTTGTATCCTCTCTTTTTCTCACAATCCACACTTAAACTGTTAAAATCTGTTGGCATTATCTTCAAAATATTTCCAGAATCCAGACCCTTGTCACCTCTTTCTTCCATACTACCCTGGTCCAAGCCATCAGCTTATCTTGCCCGGCCTTCTACAATAGTCTCTTAACCTGTCCCTTATGGAAGCCCCATCTCCACACCCTCCTAGGCTATTCTCATTACAGCATCAATGTGATCCTCTGCTCACAACCCATCAAAGACTCAACTCACTTATAATAAAATTCCAAGACTTTAAGACATGATCTGGCCCCGCTGCTTCTTTGATCTTAACGCCTACTCTTCTTACTGTTTGAACCACACACTGGCCTTCTTGCCATCCCACAAGAGTATGAAATTTGTACAACAAAAAACACTTATTCAAATGATTGATATAGAGCTCTGCAACCAACAATGAGAGAAAAATTATATTTTTTAAGCACAGGAGGATCACTTAATAAAACTGACAATGTACTAAGCCAAAGACAGTGTCCAAAAATAAAAAATCAATACAGTAAGTCCCCTACATATGAGCCTTCAAGTTTAGAGCTTTCGAAGATGTGAACATGTGTTCGCATGTCCAATAATGTAAGTTACTTCACATGTCTGGCGTACATTGTCATGTGCATGCATCCTCTACAAATGGTTGTGCTTTTGTGTACTTTACTGTACAGCACTGTATAGAGTACAGGAGTACAGTATCTTTATTTCAAGCCCAGGATGTCCAGAAGCAAGCATAAAAGCAGTGGTGATGTAGCTGGTACTACTGTACTTTTCAAGGTACTGTACTGTAAGATTAAAATGTTTTCTATATTTTTTGTGTTTGTTTTTAATGTATTGTTTGTGTGAAAAGTATTATAAACCTATTACAGTTCAGTACTATATAGCCAATTGTGTTAGGTGGATACCTAGGCTAACTTTGTTGGACTTATGAATGCACTCTCAGAGTGGAACTTGTTCATATGTAGGGGACTTACTATATTATATAAACCAGATCTTCAAATCACAATATAAGGGCTTCCCTGGTGGTGCAGTGGTTAAGAATCCACCTGCCAATGCAGGGGACAT